AATTTTTGCTGCATAATTTGATCAAATATGTAAAACATGTCCGTAGCACGTTAAACTGTGGTGCCATTGTATTAATATACAATTATTTGCTCAAAAGTTGCCCTTTTTTTCCAATTTGCGTTTGAATATCTACATTTATTCTCATTCTTCTGTTTAATGGAATGCACAAACAAAGCAGCGTGCCATCAAAGATGGTGTCTCCGAGGAGGTCATGTGACATTCATTGGTCTGTGGGAACTATGTATAACCCCACCACCACTGATGTCAATGTTGTGGCCACTCCATCCACAACATTGACATCAGCAAAGCGCTCACCCATACGACGCCACACACGCTGTCTGCCATCTGCCCTGAACAATGCACCCCGAGATTCATCCGTGAAGAGAACAACACCTCTCCGACGTGCCAGACGCCATCCAATGTGAGCATTTGCCCACTCAAGTCTGTTACGGCGACGAGCTGGTCAAGACCCCGATGAGGACGACGAGCATGCAGTTGAGCTTCCCTGAGACGGTTTCTGACAGTTTGTGCAGAAAATGTTTGGTTTTGCAAACCAATTGTTTCAACAGCTGTCTTAGTGGCTGGTCTCAGACAGTCTTGGAGGTGAACCTGCTGGATGTGGAGGTCCTGAGCTGGTGCGGTTATACGTGGTCTGCGGTTGTGAGGCCGGTTGGATGTTCTGCCATATTCTCTGAAACGCCTTTGGAGACGGCTAATGGAGAAATGAACATTCAATCCACGAGCAACAGATCTGGCTGACATTCCTGATGTCAGCCAATTGCACGCTTCCTCAATGCTTGTGGCATCTGTGGCATTTTTCTGTGAGACAGAACTGCACATTTCAGGCTGGCCTCTAATAATGGCCAGTCTAAGACACACCTGTGCACTAATCATGATGTCAGATCAGCATCGTGATGTGGCAGACCTGTGAGGTGGGATGGATTATCTCAGCAAAGCAGAAGTGCTGACTATCACAAATTTAGACAGATTAGTGAACAATGTTTTGAGAGAAATGGTAATATTGTGTATCCGGAATGAATTTTTGAGATCTTCAAGTCCATCCCAGGGAAAATTGGAGCCAAAACAAAAGTGTTGCATAGATATTTTTTTTGAGTGTAGTTGAATCCCGATGATGAAAATTACAGGCCTCCCTCATCTTTTAAGTCGGAGAACTTGCACAATTGGTGGCTGACTAAATACTTTTTTCCCCACTGTACTCATATAAATATACCAATAAATAAATATATATATTTATTAGTGCTGTCAGTTAAACGCGTTATTAACGGCTTTAACGCAAACCAATTTTAACCAATTAACCCAAGGATGTGCTGTGTCTGAAAGATCATACTACATGCGAACATAAAGAGCGTCTGGCAGAGCTTGTGCTGCTTCAGGCTTCTACCACCCTACAAGCACCACTACGGAAAGCGGTGCAGCAAGCCTTTCTGCTTCAAAGGCCTGAGCTGTGTCAGGAAGCAAGTGTGAGAAAACAAAAGCACTCGCATAAAAACATATAAAACCATCTAACAGACTTGAATGATACATGGTTTTAAAAACTGGAAACAGCAATAACAAAAGCAGAGATTGAGAAGCCTATATTAGATAAACCAAATTCTTTCTTTTTTGAGGGGGTTGGATTACTATGAATTTTATGGTTTTTTTTTTCTTAATCCGATCCCTTTTCAAACCAAATCAAGGACCTTTAGAGAGTTCAAGGCCATGCTATTGGAAATGTGTTGATAATGCTTTTTATAGCTTTAATAGCTAGTATATGTTCCCTTCACTGTTTCCACACATTATCAGCAAGGCATATTCACTTCCTGTTTTGCCTTCTACATTATGCTTACAGCCACAGGAAACAGAACTCAAATGGAGATGTCTTTCTTTCTGCTTCTTTCAGGGCCTCTGTGACAGACTTTTCTCCCCCTAAAAGCGGACTCTCACTCCATGATGAAGTGGCCAGGGAATTTAGCAATTAGCCACAGTATTTAGAAGTGTCTAGTTATTTATCTCACCAAAACACAAGCGCTCTTCGGCTATTGCACCATTTGGACAAAGAGGAGAGAACCTGGTCCCTTCTTTTCCTGGTCCCTTTGTGGCTGCCTGCAAAACAAGCAGCTTTTCAGATACGCTAAACAGAAAACAACAGTCCAATGGCACTAATGGTGATTATAAGCCTTGTTTATAACACACTAATGGTCGTGTCTTCAACTGCATTTAGGGACAATTGCTGTTGTTTAAAGAAATGTGTGATACTGAAAAGTTAATGAGCTGTTTCTTTCCCCCTAATGAGTTGTGCTCGCTGCAATTTGAAGAAGCATTTATTTACCTCTAGCCCAAATGCTAATTAAAAGTTTGATTCAGTCTATAATGTTTAAAGGTGCAGGTAACTAAGATGTAACTGTTTGGGATGCTTAGCTTTTCCTAAATCTTATAAATATATATATATATAAATCTCTACAAGTTTATACCACTGTATTTTTGTTTAAAAACTATATTGTACATCTTTGAACCACAAGTAGCAAAAAAAACATGCAAATATTTAAATACATGAATGTTTTGTTTAGGGTTTCAGCTATTAATTATTTTAGAAATGATCATTTTATTGAATATTATCCATCCATTCATTTTCATCCCCTTCCATTTCTGGGTTGATCAGGTGGCAATCCGAGCTGCCACCTTCACTGACCCTCCTGCAGGTGTCAGCAACGACACAGCCTTGGTTTTTCACCGGGGGCTTCAGGCAAAGATGGGTTAAGTGTTTTGCCCAAGGACACAATGACAGCAGACATTAGTGGGAGTAGGTGGAGAATTGTCAGGCCCGAAGGTCAATGCTTTACCAACTGCACCACTGTAGCCCTATGGTGCCCTCTGGGACCTAGACATTCTGTCCATCAAAACAGTGAACAGAACCTGTGACAAAGGGCAGCAATGGTGCTACACAGCGGAGCAATTCTAGTCCTTCGTCCAAACCAAACCATGTGACGCTGTAGTTTCCGTTTCAATTTTCACAGCTACTGTTAAGTCCACTATTGCTGTCCAAATGTACGTATGGGAAAGTGGTGAGGTCATAGCAGGCAGAGAATTCACACCTTTTTCTTCGCACGGCTGTGAAACAGAGTATCTGTTCTGTTCCACTCTGGAGGCCTTTTCTCAACGCAAACGTTTTCACCTGAAACACTGTCTCCGTGTGAACAAAAGGCCAAACCGATACTCTATCATTTTACTGTCGCAGCGTCCCTGTGTAAGCAGCACATAATATGAAGAAAAAGTTATTTCTGAGCAAAGAAAACAACAGCGTGATGGAGACAAGAAGTGGCAGAAAAGTTACCGTTATGGTCTTTTAAAGACGACCAATAAACAAGTTTTGGAAGATTGTGGTGGTTGGAGATTAGATTCAGATGGGCACAGACTTGATGCATTGTCCACTCTGCTGAGCCCTGAAGCAACTGTGTGATTGGGCTATAAATAACCTCACCAGGATTAGCCGGCAAAACATCACTCCCATTTTTTCAGACACTTCAAGAGGCTTGTTACTGGCATTTTAATTTAGATGTACTCTAAAATACACTCTATATAGGCAGCTGCACAGTCCAAATACAGTAACTACTGTAGCTAAATTAGTAACACATTTCTAAAGGTAAAAATCAGCATGTGGGTACATTGCTTGCAGAAGAAAGAATTACAGGGAGTAGAATCCATTCCCACACCACATAAGGGTATGGCACGTGTATGTGTATGAGTGTATGAGCACTAAACATTATAATGATGCTGCTGATGACATATGGTGCAGGGTTGTCAAAAGTATCAAATATCGAGTCAAATATTGAGCACTAAAACTAGTGTTGAAGATGCTACTTGTATCAATGTTGAAAAAAAAAAGGACAAACAAATGTATCTAACATTTTTGTATACATTTTAAACTATATCAGAAGAACCTATGAGCCTTTATGGCCTCACTAAGAGTATATTTATTAAGAGTGAATGTATTAGTTATTTTTGTTTTACTATTATTCTGATGCATATAATTATCAATATGGGGAATATGGATGGAAAGGTCCTTCCTAAACCGGAGGAGTTGAAGTATCTCGGGGTCGGGAAGGATGGAGCGTGTGCAGATCTGGATTCCTCCTGGACGTCTCCCTTGGTCTCCCTGCGGAGGTGTTCCAAGCATGTCCTGCCGGGAGGAGACCCTGGGGAAGACCCAGGACCTGTTGTAGGGACTATGTCTCTAAGCTGGCCAGGGAACACCTGGCGAAAGTGTGTGTGGATAGGGAAGTATATTCCTTAGTACCAAGACATCTTTAGGTCTTAAGCGGTAAGGCTGCTGTTATGACTTGTACTGCACATCTGGAAACAGTTAAGACCAACAGGTGTTTTCAATAACAAGAGAGCATGTAAAAGCGGAATGACGTCAGTAATCACCCACAGACCATTTTACAAAACAATAAATAAATATGCTTAAGTGAATACATTGTGTTGTGTACACGGTGCATTGTATTTGGACATTTTTATTTTCGTTTTTTTAATGTTTAAAGTATCGACACTACAAGCCAAACTGATAATGATACAGTGCATATTATAACCATGGGATTATAACATATTTAAACAAATTTTAAAATGTGTTCATTACAGCAATTAGTTGTATCTAGTAAGAGTTTTGTTGTGGAAAGAAGTCAGCGTGAGGTAAGTATCTGTAATCTTTTCTAAAAGGGTGCATTTGGCTTTAGCACAGCGGTGCCACCCTACTGTATGATAATCGCAGTTCTATAATTGCTTAATATCTAAAACTGTGTTTCTGTTTTGACAGTGTCTCACGCCCATGTGATGTGAAGCGGATTGGAGGCGAGCTGCGAGGGCCAGTCTCCTCCTCCCCCGACCCCAGCTCTGTGTCCCCGGCTCTGTAGGCTCCAGTCTGAGAGCTCCAGGCACCAGCGGACTGCTCTCTGCTCTCTGACCGACAAACAGCTGCAGCAGGCGGACTCCGGCGCTGCCCCAGGATGGAGGTAAGGTAACAGATCCACACGCACTTGCAGGAACACATGGATCTAATTATTAAATGTAACTTTGCTAAAAGCATCTCTCATCAGTGGATCTGGAGGTAGTGTAGACATGTGCTATTTGTAGAAACACTCGACCGTGGGTTTGTTTTGGTTGTGCCGTTTAGCTGTGTGTAAATGTGGATAATGTGGCAGCAGTTTGTGAGATGACAGCCAAAAAACAAAACATCTTAAGTGGTTGTCCAAGTTTATACAGTATGCAAACGGTAAAACTCATAACTTACAAATGCATAAGTTTATTTCATCATGCTTGTTTTACACTTATTTAAAGTTTGGGTACGTAACTTCTCTCATAAATATCATTGTGTTTGTCTTTAAAATCTTTAAAATTCGATTTAAAAATAAATAAATATATATATATATAAATCCAATGTTTGTTTACATATACTAATACTAAATGTCGCTGTTGTTTAGTTCACTGGCAGTAAGATATATTGCACATGACATTCTATATTGAGAAATTAAGTTGCTGTTTTAGTGCTGCGTGAGCTAAGTGTGGCTTCATAACAACAAAACCACAATGTGTAGGGAGGAAATGAAGGCTGAAACATCTGTCATGAAGCCTGTTTGTCATGTAGTCAACTGTAGCAACTGGATGCCATGGGGGAATCTCTCTACTTTTAATTGTTTTTACAGTTGTGTGCATCCCATATGCCATGCCTCACTGAAAATAGCCACATTTTCACATGTGTTTTTTAAATGCAGGCTTTTAACTTCCAGGTTTGTGGACTGGACAACTCCCAGCAACAAAACCTGGCCTTCCATTAGGCTAACAGCTCAATCTGAACTATGTCATGTTATGTGGAGAGTGGAAGAGAAACGCCCATGTTTCTTCAAAGCACGTGAGGGAGAACATTACTCCACAAGCAGCTGTACCATTCTGCAAGCAGTGTTTATGCCTTAGACTCATGCAAAAAATCCAAATTATTTCATTCAATTAGTGTAGTTGTTGAAAGTAGCAGTGCAGTGAGTCTGTGGTGACTGAGTAGGGAAAAGACTGTCAGTTTGCAGACTGTGGAAAGGTTTTTCTTAGTGCGGTGGTGTATATTTATGTCTGAGTACAAAGATGTGGTTGATATGTTCTCAAGCTAAGAAGGATTTTGGTTCTTTACTCTAGCCTTTGCAGATAATTATGTTCAGATTTGATGGGTAAAAAAGGATCAATCTTTGATTGTGGTAAGAGAGCTTTACACCTTTAGCCTGAGGCTGTGGTCTTTGTGAATACTGCTATGGCTTGCAGAAGTACTGAAAAAATTTGAACTTTTGCACATTTTGTCATGTTACATCCATCAACAAAAATATGTTTTTTTTTTTTTTTTGTGAAAGACCACAACAAAGTAACAGACAACAGTGAAGTGAAAGCAGAGGCTGCAGAAGTACATGAGTTCATACTGATGAACCCTTTTCAATCACAGCAGTCTTTTGGGGTATGGCTCTTAACAAGCTTTGCACATGTGAAAACCTTTCACACTAAATTGTGTATCAATATTGATTCATTCATTTCTAAACCTTAATGATTATTGTAGCCAGTGTCAGTTCAAGATTAATATATGGAGGTCAGGAGAAACAAAAATACATAATTGTTATTGTGCTGATCAAAAATGCCTTGTTAATGTCCTTGTAATTATTATGTTAATATTATTTGTATTTTTATTTATTTGGCTGTTTGAAGAACTGATGTTGTTCTTCACTGGTGTCAATGTTTGTGTTGATCCAAATCACCATCTATTATTATTATTATTATTATTATTATTGATATTTTTAGCGGAATGGAACCTCATCTAGGCAGAGGTCTGCTCTCAACGAGTGCTTTTCTAGTTGATAAAGTGCATGCATGATAAGTTTTGAATCTTGAACACACTGAAGTGTGTCAGCCCCTTGCAGACTGTGGGAGTGGATGATGGTCTTGGCCTGGCCTGGTGTTAACAAATGACTCAGCTGGAAAAGTTATCCTTCGTATTGAGTCGCCGCCATGTGGTGAGCACATTTATTATGTAATCCATAGTAAAGTTTAGAGGGCAGTAAAGTGGGTGCCCATGAGATGTGTACTAATGAGTGACTTTTCCCTGAGCTTTACAAGAATATATGTCAATGACACTGTGTTTTTATGAAGCCATTCTTTTTTCAGTATAACCTCTCCCTGTGGAGCAGCATCCGCAGGGGATGAGGAGGTTTCAGTGCACAGTGGCCATCAGAGGAAGACAGTTGTTCTGATGCCTTTTCATTACAAGGCCTCGGGAAGAGGATAAAAAACATACATTTTTGTTGAAGTTTATTTAGTCTTCTTTTGAAGAAGGCAATTCTGGGACTCCCTTCGAGACGACTGTTGTGCTTTTTTTGGTCAATACAAAATAAATGGATTTGATTCAGTCCTAAACAATGGTTATGGCTAAACAGAAGCAGTCCAAGTGTTACAAGTCTGTCACAACAGCACATCCTTCCTGTGTATGAAATAACACACTGAACCTGGAAATTGCATTTACCACTTACCATTTGAATGCAACTATATGCTTTATGCAGTAGTAGTAAATAAATGCATTTATATTACTTAACATTAAGTTTGCAATAGTTTTTTGTTATCCTTAAAAATAATTATAATTTCATAGTACATATTTTTCATTCTGATTGGATGATAGACTGAAAAACTAGTTGACAGATGCCAAAAACATTGATTACTTTTTTTAATTCTCTAAAAACTTCAGAGTAAATGAAAGTACAGTGTACTCATGTACTCAACTAAAATACTTTCATCTTCATTCTACCGTCATTATAGAATGACTGTATCTGAGTTTTAAAACCTCTTTTCAGCTTTTGTAAGTCTATGGAAGCTTTCAATTATCTATGAACTTGTTAAAGCCAATACTCTACATCTACTGTGACAAGAAGACGAAGGCCAGACAACACCGCAGCATTAGCACATCATTTAAACTTTGCAGTAGACCATTTTTCTGAACACGCTGTAATTGAGAAGCCGTTTGGGAGCGGTTTACTCTCTGGTTTGTTGCCAGTATTTACACCTCTGTGCGCGATTCTCCTCCTCGTTGGTTGTTTCAGTGGATATTTTCTCATTCACGGCCCAATCAAAGGCTCCATAAAGGCTCCTAACCCCACAGCATTGCTAGTTATTTAGTTTTGTGCCAGACTATTTTTGCAGCGCTATCAGAGGCAGAGCTGGTGGGAAGAGATAGGCTGGGTGGGATACACTCCACCAGATATCAGCTCACAGGACATGCTGCAGTTTCAAATAGTGCTCTTGTTGTTTCACTAAAAGTCTGAATAAAAAGCGATTCAGCCATTGCTCATAGTCACAAACCGTCCTAGATCTGAACAGGAGTTTTGCAGGTCTTAAATTTCCATAACCCACTTCAACTCAAAACAAACAATTGGATAATTCACAAATAAGTTAAAACGTCCTCAAATAAGTCTATTGCTACACTAGTAAATATTTAAGTTAATGTAAGTACAATATTACTCCGAGTGCAAACCGTGACATCTGAATTATTGACTCATAATAAAATGTGTAACACAATCTGTTAGGACGCTTAATGACATTTGAAAGCAGCAGTGTGTAAACATGTGGCCCAAAGTGGTACTGCAGCCTCTGCCACTCTCCCTGACTCAGGTTGCCAGATATGCAGACGAATCCAGCTGGGACCATAACAGCTGAATAGACAAGAGTTTTGTCAACAACAAATCTATAACCAACACCTTTTTCACAAAGATAGAAATCCTGGTTTTATTCCTTGTTTCGTTGTTAATGATTTGAGAATCATAACGAGACCTTTTTTAGTTTTTTTTTCGCGGCCACAATGTCAATGTCAAGTTTATTTCTATAGCACATTTACAACAACAATCACTGCACAGTATGTGAGATCCGGGAACTCAGATCATGGACTTTCTGATTGGTAAAATGAAAACAAGATTTAGGGGCTGTAAAACTAGTTTTGAAATCTGAATATCTCGGCTGAACTACCGTTATCAGTTAAAGAAGTATTTGAAAAGACCATGGTTTATGAATGCCTTTTGACGGATTAGACTTGACGTGAAAATCTTGCATAATGCTACTTTAACTAATTGTGTAATAACTATTTGTGTGGCAAATATAGAGCCACCTTTAAATCATTGACGACACAGTATCGCCATCTATTTTCTTATCTAGCTTCCTCTGAAATGCCTTTTTTGTTGACGTCGTATGACCTCCAGTGATGCTGTAAGCTGCAGCTGCAGATTGTGGGCGTGCATCAGACCTGAGAGCAGTAGATGAGAGGAAGTGAGAGAAACTGAGAAACACCGCCACACTCTTTCTCTCCCACAGTGAACGCAGCTCCTCCTTTCTAGAGGCCAGACCACATTTGGCAAGCGTCCACTCTTGTGTCTCCTTTTTTGGCAAAAACTTGGGCAAACATAAGACGTTCTGAGCACCTTCACTATAGCGCTGAAGGAGGACTCTTTGCTGTCATTTTTGTCATAAATGTTGTTAGCGTATCTTCTCCTATAGCTTGCAATCTTTCAAGTTAAGAGCATTTAGTTAATTCATTATTCATTCATTTCAATTTCAACATTTAGAGAACGAGCCGTTAAGCTAATAGGCCGTGTGCAGCTCTGCTAAACACGCATGCCACTGAATGAGATTGGCCACGTGACGCCCAATGGAGGCCCACGCTGTATGAAAGGAAAGATCTTTAGGCATCGAGTCGTATTGTAACGGATTAAAATGAATCCTTTTTAACGTATATATGCTTGAAACATCAGTACAATCTGTCACTTTGACAGTTTAAGTCTGTCTATGCCGGGTGAGCCCTTAGTTATTAGTTTGGTTGATTGTTGTGAGTATTCTCCGTGATGACTTAATAAGTGATTTTCACAACTTGAAGTAAGGAAGCAAGTAATCTTTATTTATATAGCGCCTTCCACAGACCAGAGTCACAAAGCTCTTTACAATTGTT